AACAACCCAACTCAGGATGCTTCTCACTTTTTTACTAATGCTTAGAACCACCAATAATAGAACCCATCCTAGGAGTTTCTTCAAAGCAAGACACCATTCTAAAAACTAGAGATTATATAAATTGAAGCACTATTGTTTGACTTTCATTCTTCTTTAACTTTTACTCTCTCCACTAAACTCAGTAGAAGTGTTTTAGAAATAAAATTATTTTCTAATTTAATTAACTCCTATATATTAAACATTAATTATTATATTATATATAAATGTTTTAAAATACTTTTCTTCAACGAGATAATCTGTAGAATTTCTTTTTAACTTCTTATCTAATTTAATTTTTTTATAATTATTTATAAATTAAATTTTAATATTTATAAATTAATTATCAACACATAAAATATTTTTGTGCAACAATAAAAGTTATTTATTATAAATAAAAATATAATTTATATATTTAAAAATATTTATTTATATAAATTTTAAATATAATTTATATTCAAACATAATATTTATTTATATATAATTTATTATAAATTTTAATTATATATAATAAACATGTCTATGCTAAAATGTTATTTATATATCTTATATTTTTATCAACTACATCTCTTTATAGTATTAATTATATCTCTCTATTTCGAAATAACTAGAAAAAGAAAAGATAAAGGTATTCTTAAAAAAAATGTTCAACTTGTGGAAATCAATTCTATTAGGATGGAATGAAATCCTTTTTGTGGGAATCGACTATTTCCAAAGGGAATTGATTATCTTATAAAATCCTATGTTCAAAAATTGGTTCCTTTACTTATAACTCGATTCCACTTTGTAGGAATCAACTTCACTCGAAGAGAATCAATTATTGTAACCTAAAATGAGATTATTCATTTAAAAATACTTTATTTTACTATGGAGTCGACTTTAAACTATTTTTCAGTACCCTAGTGAAAGAGATAAGGTTAGGATTTTTCAATCCTATAACAAAAGGATTCTTAAACAATTCACATAAAAAAAATAATTATCCATGGTTTGTCTTTATTAAATCATTCATGTGACTTTTTAAACCATGTATCATAAACTTGGAAGTGTTTTTCTTTTTCAAAATTTTAGAATGATGACCTTTCTCAAATGTCATGTTCATTAGATATATTCTTTAATATAATTATTAAATAAAATAAATATTATGAATTATTCTATATTCAACTACATATCTATAAAATTGGTGACGGATCCATAAATTTTATATAGTGGGGACAATACTTATTCATATATTTAAAATATTAAATTTTTTACATATAACTTTTAAAATTGTAAATATATATTATAATTATTTTTTACAAACTTTTATATTTATGATTACGATTAAGGATGAAAATAAATTAGACCAGTTTAAGTTATATTATAAGTTAGTAGGTTTGAATATAACTTTATTTAAAAATACATGTGCTAAATATTACTTATTTATTTGTTATAGATATATTTTTTAAATGTTTGATTAAAACTATAATCCTAAAGACTTACTTTATAATAATTCAGCACTAATAAAAATATAAAAGTAAGTATGTTAAATTTTATAAAAATTAAGTTTAATTTATTTATGATATAAACATGTTTTAAATATCTAATATAAATTTTTAGATAATAATTTATTTTAAAACATATTTTATAATAAAAATTCTAAATAGAACATAAATCTTTCAATCTTTTCTATTTTGATTTTTTTTAATCAATGTATACAATCTTACAATCTTTACTATTTTTATTTTTTTAATCAAAATATGTAATAATTAGAAAACACAAAAGGTAAATATGCATGTTGTAAAATTTATTTTATCAAAAATTAAAATTTTTAATATTTTACATTATGTATGTGAGCATTAATATATATATATATAT